TTGTACCTTGTACATAATTGTAATGACGATTTAAAAAAAACCAGCAAGAAATCTCACGACAGCTCTGTGAACAAAAGTGTGACAAAAAGGTTGATGGAGGAGTGGCTTTTGAGCTTATAGAATTAACACCATAAGCCTTAGTTATAATATTACATCATGATCCCATTACATGCTTGGATTACAATCCGGCCTGGTGGTCTAGTGGTTAGTGACCCTGACTGCTAAGACAAAGGTTGTGGATTTGTTTCCCACTCAGAACAAATAATTGTGTGATGATTTGTTCTAGGCCTGGGGGTAATTTAAAAAAATATGCATGTATATAATCTATGTATAACATGTATGTATTTAGAAAAAGAAAGTATATAAGTATTGTGACCACGGCCGGTGCAACCTGGTCGAAACGTCAGGCAAACCAGAGGTATGTAATACCCTAAATAAGAGATCGCGTCCTGTTAAAATAATATCAATTACCATGGAACGCGAAAGTTTAAAAGTTAGTATAGTATTCTAACAGTCAGTCAATAAAAGCTAGTTACATACTATAACTCTGCTTAGTTTGGTGCGGTGGTAGCGTATGCAACTGCTGTGCTGATGGTCCGATTCCCAGATCAGACCAAATGTTTATATGTCTTTCACTCCTAAACTAGTAAACCAATTTTAAAAGTTCTTTCACCAATGGAAAGCTACATTATCAGCGAGTAACATAGTCTACTTATTACCATGATAACCGGCATACACAGAGCTGCTTGAAAAATCTAGTAGTAACATAATTATAAATCTAATACATTACAAAACAATCACAATATTGAATAGTTAATGATAAGCTATACAGAATACATTGTCTCAAATGTAGGTTAATCATGTACAGAGATAAATATACAAATAGCTCATTGTATATCTTACACAAACAAATATAATTAAACTGTTTGATTTTAATGTTATATTAATAGTTTATAATGATACTTTATACTAAAAAAAATTTTTTCCAGTGAATCTATAAATCGGGTGTACCAATTGCTGTTAAGATTTTACTAGCAGATAGCTACTGTCACAGTATATAAGTATTAAGTATAGTATAGTCAATCTAGCTTTTATAGTACAAGCTCTGTTTAGCTTGAAACAAGATGGTGTTAAGTGGTAGATATCAACACAAAGGGCTGGACCGATTTTAATAATATTTAAATATCAGGTAGATGTCTATATATTGAGTAATTTAGTGATCAATCCTTTCAGAAAAACTTTATCAAATTTTGTCAAATCCGGGAATCAAACCCACTATGGATGTACTTTTCAAATTTCACGTGAACGAAGTCACAGGTACCAGGTAGTATGTTATAATTATGTTATATATATTTCCATTGTATATATTATATTTCCATATTTGCATTGTATAAGAAGATAAATTTGGATAGCAATAAATTGGTCTACCAAAAAAGGATTTCATAAACAAAAACTTGCAAAAATTGCCTAGAAATTTGGTCAAAATGGATGAGCTATCTGTTTTTTTTTCCAAGAATATTGAATATATTCATCCTAAATTTATTTAACCTCCTTTCTGAGAGGCTTATGTCCAGCAGTGAACTATTAAAGGCTGTTGATGATGATGAAATTTATCCTCTAACTTTAAAAATAAAGAACTATTTAAAATGTTTTGTAGGAAATTAGATAATCAGCAAAAACTGAAAGTTTCCAGTATGAAATGAAAATAATGACATTCAAATTAATTTGTTGAAATATCTAACAAGATAATTTTTTTATTCTTTATTATATCATTTGAGTATTTTGTCTAATATCCGGTCGCCACGCAGCGTACTTCTACGCTAAGTGTTGTGGGTCTGATCCCTACATGGGACTACACTTTGTGTGATCCACAAATTGTTGTTCTGGGTGTTCTGTGTGTCCGTTTCATGTATGGTTGTAAAGTCCCCCGTGACACAAAATATACTTATTCCTAATGCGGGAGTTGTCTTTTTAAAATAGAAAAAGAACGAAAAAAAAGGTCTCCGCAAGACAACTAATTAGTTTTATATGAGAAAAATATAAAGAATCGTAAAAAAATTATCACAAGTCACTTGTGAAAAAACATTAAAAAACAGTGTATTTGAAGGCCAGTTCTTCTGCAGAGGATTTAGCTAATAGGAACAACTACCTTACTGCTGTTGAACCCACTGTCGAAAATACCTATTTTGAAGGCTCCAAAAGAGTTCTAGGACAAAGTTGAAGAAAAAATGTATCTACGTTTTGTATGGCCTACCTTAAATTTTTCAATTAACATCTGAATTAATTAATTACTCAAGACATTGTAGCATATTAGAAAACAATCCCCTTTGCAACCTTTGAACTGAGGTAACAGTTTTATCCTGTTTAACTACAGTTACTAAACATAATCTTATTACATTCATGTTGATGATCAATGGAAAAATACTACAAAGATTTGAGTACACGCCTCTTAATTCATTAATTCTTACGTGTAATGCAATTAAATCACACCGAAAATCTTTTCGAGGGCAATCAGTCTACAATCGAAAGAAGCTATCGGTATATAACCCTATCAAATCAAAAATGCACTTTTCTTACATAATCTGAGTCGTTAATAAAGTGTATACAATTCGGTTGGTTAATAGTATACCCAATCTTGCTAGGTGACATCATCTCGCGCTATGATACAGATAATATGTAATTGCCTCGCGTCACGCCCAAAATGAACTAATAAAATCTTATTTCGCGCATCAGAAACGATATAAAGCTTTTAATTCTGATCTATATTCATAATTATCGAATAACGCTGTCGTTTTCCGCACCGCACAAACATGACGGAAGTCAAAGTTCACAACTTCTTTTAACCAAAACTAGTGAAATTTATCATAGAACACGGCAGTTAGCCAAAATCAAATATATCGAGACATTTATAGACACTATGAACTAAAAAAAAACCGACCTAATTCCAATACGCCGATAAAGACACACCCAACACAGCGGCTGATGAAAAAAACGCATACCGCCACAAAAGTAACGCGTTCTTATTGATAATGTAAACAAATATGTGGAAAAGAAAGCTGAACACACGCAATACTCACCGGCAGAGCTTCAAGACGCGCTATAAGTCGAATTTTATGTCACTTCACACACTTTTATTGGACAGCGATTGTAACTTACACTAAGCACATAAACGAAGTAACATTATATAAAATAATATGCACAAAACGTTTTTCCGACAATTTTCAAAGCACCAGCACTACCGACATTCCGCGTAGAGCGATTATTTCAATATTTCGTTCGTAAAAAAGGATTCTCTAACACGCTACCAGAGGAGATCGATGTCGGCGCGAGTTTCACTTTTCCACCGGGGCGTCGCTGTTGTCGACTGACTTCATCAAACGCACCGCTTTAGATGGCGCTTTTGTAGATAGAGTTGCTCCATTTAAGTTAAATTTTACCCAAGTAATATAAAACATCAGACGCGTAAATGGAACCAAACCTTTCCTAACAGCAGGTGTAAAACTTGTTATTAGTATTCCGGGTGTCCTTTCACTGAACTTAACTTATGTCAGTTAAGTCAGTTTAAATTATCAGTGTACTTTAAAAAATTGATTCTATGTAAGGATTCATTCTTTATGTTTGAGTACATAATTTACAAAATAATTTTGGCAATTACCATTGAAAAAGGCACTTAAGTAAAGAAATATATTCTGAAAATATAATCAAGAATTTGAAGTAATTTGTAACAAATTTATCCCATTCTAAATAGATCGTAAGTTAGGGGACTAGGTGTAGTTTAATTGGGTTTGCAAATATAATTCTTATAATTAAAATACACATTGCTGTCTGATGTTTTTTATTAACTTTAATTTATTACTTGTGCCTGAGTCTTAATCATCATCTTTTATCATTAAGCAAACCTATCTTAAACTTTTCTAAAACGTGAAATTATTTGCATTGGTACTTGTCTATAAAACTGCTATGTTTGTAGCACATTAAAATCATTATTTATATCTATACAAATAAATAAAATACTCACACGGTTTTTGTTTTTTTTAATCTTTATTTATTTAGAGGCTTTTATTACAACACGGTTATTTGCATGATACCTATGAGTAAAAACCAGTTTCAATATGTTTTGTCTTTCAGTCTGTCTGTTTGTGGTAATCTTCCAAACGGCTGGCTGCTGATTTTGATTTTATATTACTACTAGGTAAGGAGTAACATAGGCTACTTTCCACTCAGAAAAACCCCATAAAATTTTCTAGGTCTGGGAATCGAATCCACTTAGGCAGCGTTTTCAAATTACATGCAAATGAAGTCTCGGGCACCAGCTAGTACCTAGTAAAATATAGTGTCAAATTAGAGCATCATACTATGATCCCATCTAATAATACCCTAGATTTAATAGTATTTTTCTTTGTTACAACATTGAAAGCTTGCACTCCTTTTCACTGAAGCATCAAAATAACTAAACGCACCAAACAATACTAAGAAACACCAAGTTTAATAATCGAAAATAATAAGTATAGTTCTAGTTTAAACATATTATATTTGATTAATAAATAGACAATTTATATTTGAACTGCGATTTTAATTTTTCTGTGTTGTGTCTGTGTAAACCAATGTACTCAGGCCAATTTGTTTTTTCATATTATGTATAAATCTGATGATAAGTATAAATTTATCCTTATTTAAAATAAACGTTTATCGTTTATTTTTAAACCACGATTTTTATTTTTGAAATTACCATAGGTCAACAAGTTACACGAAAACTAAACGTCAACGCCGTTAAAAAGACAGTTGATGTGTAGAATGAAATCTTATTGACATTCAATTCATTACCAAAATGGCGTGTGACTGAGCAGTGCGTTGCTGTTACTTTTTGTTTTTATAAAATTTTAAAACTGTTGACTTAATACTGAGGTATAAACATGTCTCGTATCATTCCTACATCTTCAACTCCTTGGTCACTGTTTTAAAAATAAATAACCGTGTGAATTGTGTTAAAACAGGTTACAATGGGTCGATCGCCTAGCCCACGGCGGCGCGAGGATAGGCGTCGTGATCGTGACAGAGACGTCAGGGATAGAACAGATAGAGAACGAGACCGTGATAGAGACCGCGAAAGGCGAAGACCTCGCACTCGTTCCCGTTCACGGTCTCTGGACCGTCGGCGTCGTTCTCCGAATGTTCGCCGAAGCCCGTCACCGCGCCGCCGTCAGCGCTCCCGCTCGCCATCACCTGGACCTTCTACCACCTTCGTAAAGCAGAAAAAATCATTCGGTGAGCGTCCCATAGTCACTGCGGCCGACTTAGAAGGTAAAAGCCCTGAAGAACAAGAAATGTTAAAAATAATGGGATTTTGTGGTTTTGACTCGACCAAAGGCAAAAAGGTAGAAGATAACGTAGAGGGCGACGTCCACGTGGTGCTTAAACGTAAGTACAGACAGTATATGAACCGAAAAGGCGGGTTTAACAGGCCACTCGACTTTGTTGCATGATTCCTCAGTCAACGCACTCATGGTGCCACTATTGTGGTTCCGACATGTTGGTCCATATTTTTCTATAGTTTTAAGACAAAGTTGTGATATTCCTGAGAGCTTGGTTTTATATGCATTTCATATTTACACTGTATAAAGGAACTTTACAGATTCCTTCTACTGTCTTTCTCATATATTTCGAATGCCCACTCATATTTTCAGTAACATTTTTCTCTCAACATATAACATTTTTAATAGTTAGGTAGGTCAAGCTATGGATAAATCAAAACTTTTTTATTTTACCTTTATTCAGAAAACTTATACTTAGCTAACCAGTACAATATTTAAAAAATTAGATATCAGTTCTTTACATGAAACTAAGACTGGTCTTTGTAAACAAAAAAAAAACATTTATTTGAAAATGGCAACTCACATCAAATTCATTAAAGTTGTCTTGTCCATAGAGGTTTACTTATATTGCCATTTTAATAAAAAAAAATTGTTGACTTGTTGAAAGTACCCTTGTGGTTGTTTTTTTTTTTAGCTCTGGTATAGTTGTAGATATATTGGTCCCAAAGGCATTTTTAAAAGTATTATGCCCCAGTTATACTTTATTTACACACTAATTGCACTAAAATTATGTAAATTACTTAAATTAAATTTTGACTGCACAGATGGCATAGTACTATGCTGAGTGTTGTTCAATCCCCACATGGGACGATACTTTGTGTGATCCACAAATTGTTGTTCTGAGTGTAGGTGTTCTTTGTGTCTGTTGCATATATGTTTGTACAATCCCATCCTTCCAACCCATTGTACAGTACAGTTGCATCACAAGATATATTCCTAATGTGGGAGTCTTTTTAAGTTAATAGGATTTGCCTTCATAGTTTTCTGTTTTGATTTAATGAGAAATAATTATAATTTTAACTTAGCAATTGTGGCTAGAGTCAGTAGAGAGGCATATAGGGTTCAGTGACAACAAAATTTTTATTATTGAGGATGCATTGAATTAATCAGACTGAGAGGGAAAATAACCAAATATGTTCACATTTTATAAGATGTGCTTTATTTAATATTTATAATCAGAAAATAATTTATTCATTGCTTAGGAGAAGTTTCTCAAAAAATTCAGTAAATACCAAATTTAAAAGAATTTTATTTGCTTTTTGACAGTTTTTTAATCTCTCAGTATTTTAATCTATACATCTATGAAAGTAAAATTAAAGCGTCTATTTGTAATGGCAGATTGATAGCTTTTTACTAAATGTTTAAATCAAAAACTATTAATTAAAAAAAAATGTATTTTTTTGTTGCAAAACTTCTACAGGCAGGACTGATTTTAATGTGGAGTTACATTGAAATCAGGCCTGCGATCAGTCCAAGTAAAACTTGAAACAGGTTTCACTGATATTAAAAGGAGTAACTTAGGCTGAAAATTACCTATATGTCATTCCATGCTGCGTCATTGCATCAGTCAGTTTATGAGTGCTACATAAAACCAAGCTCTCTAACAACCTTTTTTTACCTAGATTTAAGTGTTATTAAACTGTTCACGCACTAAACTACATATGGCTGTGATAAATAGGACATAACAATATCTAAATCATCATTAATTTCTTGAATATCTCTAGTTTTTACCATTAATTCTTTGAGAATACTAACAAATTGATTTTATTTTTCAAAACTTTGCTAGTTTGCAGTCTTTTTTATAAAATTTAGTTCATTGATCATTATTACAACATTCAGAAGTCTATTGTGATTTGATATTGATTGAAGGAAGCTTATGTCCAGCAGTAGACTATGAAAGGCTGTTGTTTATTATGATGGCTTTATTGTTTTCGTCACAGCCAAATGTTAGTAAGTACCGTGTATTTTGTTGTGAAACTACAGCCTACAGGCCCAATTTGGAAGCTTTGTAATGTATTATTGAAAATCTACAAAAGATCTTTAATCTGGCAGATTTCTTTTGGTCAGTTATTATTTTTAGGGTTATTTAAATTGTGTGTACTGTCTTATTATTTTAAAATCATTTAATATCTTAAAAAGATCTTCATAATGTATGTATTTGTGGGCTTCTTCTTTAAAATGTTAGATTATTTTAAGGTTTCACACAAAATACTTTAATATAAGTTAGAATTAAGCCCGTTACACAGTCCCCGCGCGCTGCTAACGCCCGCGCGGGCCCAGTACGCGTTCAACGCAACCAAGAAACCGTTCGGACTAACTACGGAAACGAAATATTGTAGTCTGGTAACACAGAGCAAAAAATGTCTTTAAACGAAAATTGCCATATTTTCAACTTGCAATACTGATTTGATTCAAGATTCTGACGTTATACTTGCCTGTATTAGTAAAGGAATACGTATACACATGTTTTGGGTCATCAATTATTACACAGCTAGTTATACAAGATGGCGGATCATTCGTACTTGCTCTATGTCACCGACTGATGTATAAGACTGACGCTTACCGCACTCGTTCACGTTGTCACACGGCGCACGCTAGCATAGTAGAAGATATATTTATACACACATATACACCCCGACCCCCCAGATTCACCCCCTTATCCTCCATAATGTACAATAGTTACGACCGTCATATCAGAGTGCAGTGTTTTTTGTACAACCAAGAATTGCAATTCAAACTCTATTGGAAGTAAAAAAACAACTGTGGCAATGTTGATAACTTTTAAAAGTCAATGTTGCCACAGTTGCAAAAAATTTTTTTAATTACCCACAACAAATTCTCTGTTAAAAAAACATTACATTCTGCCATCACGGTCTCCGATATACAATATACAATGGTTAAATATATTTTTTTAATAATAAGATTAACATCGCGCCGTGTGGGTGCGGACAGCGATGCCCAAGTCGCTTCCGTATTTATTCCGGGCTGTTTGTCTCTACACCTGCCTCTTTCGAATGAATCTCTGAAAAAAAAACTAAATCGCCATTTCGCACAGATTAATGTTTAAATTATTGTAAATGCATATAAATGCTACAAGTGCATAACATATATTCAGCATTTACGATTTCTCTTCACTCGTATAAAAATTAATAGTACCAATAAATTAACATTTGGTACAGTTTCGCGCCCATTTTGACAGATGGCGCCCATTTTCATCGCATCACACATTTATGTCGTCCTTGTCTGTTTTAAAATACTGTTACAAATATATTCGATAATTTCTGATAGCGTACAGTGTACGATAGGATAGGACGACATTTTATAAACTTTGGCACTCGGTACGTTTTAATACTAAAAATTTTGCCAATACAAATATCAGTTCATCACACACAATGTTTTTATTTTATTGTTTAGTTTTCAAATGGCTCAAAATTTAAAAAAACCTACAAAATCATTTGTAATCTCACTTTATGAACAAAAAAGCCATTATTACCATTGACTTGATATATCTTATTATGTATGTATAATTTTTTTTTGGTTTATCATCAATATTCAATAAGGAAAATAAGAATGATTCATTCCCTATGTACATACCATCTATTATTTATAGTTATTTAAAAAATAAATAACAAAAATGTGTAAAATTCAATGCTTTATAAGAATTTCTGTTTTGGTAGTTTTATTTTTAGTCAAAGATTTAATTTATTGTTTGATATCTTTGGATGTATCGATCCAATAGGTACCTTTCGGTGGAGATTTATATTCTTGAACATAAATTTTGTAAGTATATATATATATGTATACTTAACAACATTCATTTCTCCACTGAATTTGTTTAAAAAAATAAAAAAATCAATCATTAATATAATGATTATTATGACCATTGTAGTAATTTTAGTTAATCTTAAAGCAGATTTGTTTTGTTTTATGTAATGATATTTGGTAATGATGTAAAAATGTGTATAAAAATGTCCTTGGTGTAATTTAGCGACGGTCGATGTTGTAATGTATCTAGGTATCAAAGAAAAATACCCATAAGAGAGGTAGGTCAATCTTCGTTCTTCTTAATTTTTCTAAGTAACTGTTCTGCAATTTAATTCATTCTTTTTAATTTGCCGAAAATGCTTTAAGAACATAATACCAGTTTATAATTTATCAAACACTTGGTGTAAAAAAATGTGTGCGTCTCGGGACGCCCGACAGAAGTGATAACTTAAACTAAACTAAGTTGAACTGTTTAATATTAAAATTGTTTAACTTGAGAAAAGCTTAGGTTATTCCTTAAATTTTATGTTATCTGTCTGTCTGTCTGTCCGAAATACGGCTAGCGCTGTGGGTTAGAGTGAGAAAGGAGCTGCTGCCCAGACAGACTGGCGCCGTAACGCGTTACGTAACGAAGCAGTTTACCCTCCCATAAGAAGTCATCACTTCAAAATGACCCAAAAGTAAAAAGAACGATGTTTTACCTAGATTTTTATGTGAATTAAATTATAAGTCAATTTACTTATAAATGTTTTATATAGCAGACTTGCCGCATCGACCCCTATAATATAATTATAGTATAATATTTAAGTTTGTGAAAATGTAAAAAAATATTTTTCGTTTGTAAATTGTATGTATAAAGGCATTAGGTGTAATTTCTTTTGTTGACCAAGGATAGGAAAATGAATAAATCGTTTCGCAAGTAATCTTTGTTTTATTTACTAACAAGGAATGGCCATTATTTCAGAATTTTCTAAATAAAACACCTCTTTTCAAAGTTATGAAAATACTTTCAAATATGAATAAATATTTTTCTGGCGCTTGTTACTGTAGTGATTAGCGATCTTGAGCCAGTGGTCTGGCTTCGATTCCCTCCCAGGACAAATCGTGTGATAAGCATGATCATTTGTTCTTTGTGTGGGTGTAATTATATATACAGGGTGTAACAAATACTGAAATTGTATATTCAGACCACCATCATTCTGAGTCGAAAATCATTGATATCTTCTGCTGAAAAATCATCATCATTTTTTCTGGTTAAAAATGATATTACAAATAAACAACATTTTACGGACTTTTTTTAAGCATACGGTCAAAAAAGCGGGACCTCCAACTTGTGTTAGTGTGCG